CTTCTTGACTTTCTGAGGGAATAGTCCTGATGTAGTCCTGGACTGGACCTCCTGAACCTTTTTTAGGAAAGCCCTATGAATCCTTCCAAAGGGCATCTAGCTGTTACTTCTTTTCCAGCCAGACAGTGCTGCCAGCAGGTGGGAGAGTAGCCATGCCAGAAGAAGAGTTAGACTGGCTCTTTCTTCCCCTCCCAGTATATGAGAGTGAACTGCAGCATCGTTTCCAGTGCTCCTTCTGTCTGTGGCAGTACATGGAAGAGATCTCCCTGCAGAAGAGGTGCCAATTATCTGCCAGTGTGTGGTTAATGACCTCCTCCAAATTTCAGGGAAACTTATAGTAACTGCTGAGCATCACACAGGTGTGGAAAACAGTGTAGGGATGGGTTGTTCCAGGCTATTTCTGTTGGAACCCTGAGAAGAGTACAGAGCCCACTATCAACTGCCTCAGGGGCTTATATAGGAGGAAGATGTATGGCCTAGGTGCCTGGAAGAAGGACCCAGAGATGGTAGATGCTCCCTTGGCTAGATCTCCTCAGAGGCCTATAATCCTAGGGTTCTGACCAGGATGTCTAGACCTAGGCAACCCCTCAAGGGGGTCATCTGAACCCCTATGACAGCATGGGAAGTGAAGACTTACCATTCCTGAAAACAAAGCTGCCCCTTCTCATTGCACTGCCATGTGCTGCCACATCAGCTGAAGTCTGTGCTTATGTCACATTTAATTTGCCCTGGCGAGAAGCAGGGTGACCATGAAGGTGGATGCAGCAGTGGTTTCTTGGGCACTAGGCCAGCTTAATGTGTAGTAACAGGTAAAGTGATTTCTTGGGCCAGTGAGCCAGATGGCCAGAGAACCTGTGTGTCAATGGGCATGGAGGCCTGTGGACTGACCACTATCCTCCTGCAGGGGATAGAAGTGAGGCTGACAGCACACATGCCTGTATGGTAGTAGCACGAGGCTTGCTCATGTGGTGAGCTGTGGGGATAGGGCTCCTCAGCGGCCAGGCTACCAGCCAGCATTTCCCCTTGCCACTGAGTCTTCAGTTCAGCTTTACACTGGGACAGGTTTTCTGCTCCATGCACCAATTTTCCTCATCCTCCTTTGTAGTTGCTCTCACAGAGAATGCAAGAGCTAATAATGTCCTCCTCCCACTACAAAGCAGGAAGAATAACTGGGGCACCCCACCTCTTTCAGGAAATTCAGCCTGAGTCTGTCTTACCAGCCCCAGATGTGGGGCCTCCCTGAACACTAGCTGGCCACTTGCACTTGTGGAACAATATTCTCACCTTCCCTGAGAGTGTCTAGCTAGATCTGTATGCTTGTAGCTATAGCATCTGGTTTTCCAAACAAACAGAAGCACGACTAGAAATTAACAATGTTTCAGTCTTTCAGCCCTTTTGATTTGGTGCATCATGGATGTCTTTGAAACCAAAAGATAATCCAACTGAAAACAGTTATGATGGACAGAAAAAAATATATATACTTTTTTGCATTTGGATGCAGAATTCTCCAGGATTCAGTCACTTCTCCAAGATTCAAACTAAACTTAGCAATATAGGTCTGAACTGTGAATCTCACTACTTCTCACATCATAGGAGTCAGAGTATTCCTGTCCAGTGATCAAAGATTGCATTAAAATCTCCACCACCACTACAATCACATAATCATACAAAATATCAACCAATTTACTAAAACATTCATGAAACATGGCTGGAGAAAGTCTTGTACACATTACTCAGAGCAATTATTTTCTCATTATTTTTCCAATCAAGATTAAAAACAAATCAATACTAATCTGCTCGGCTGGAAACAAAAGTCATTTATACGTTAAAATCACTGCCCCTTTGAATTGCCTCAAAGTATCCTCACCAGTTCAATCACTTCTCATCTAGGATACATCTGCCACCATTAAGTGAGTTTCTTGTAAAAACCAAAACCACACACACACATCAATATTACATGAGAAATAGGACTGAGATTGTTAGGAAAAGACATGATATACAAAACTAGCAAAATAAATTTTTAAAAGGGATTGTTGAAATAAATTAAACTTTGGAAGAAGCTATTACATATCAAAGATGCACATGCAGCTGAAAAGTCCCTAAACTTTTTTTTTAAACTTTACTTTGTATTTTATGTTGCAGAAGTTAAGGCTTGCTGGACAATTAAGAAATATTGTACTAGGGGAAGAACTGTTGGAGAAAAAAAATCTGTGATGGAAGGGACCTTATCCACACTTTATGAAAAAAATTCAAAGTCTAAAAGCACTTCATGCATCTATTGATAGGCCAGAAAACTAGGGATTAGTATTTCAGGTAGAGCACTTTTCATGTTTAGACAATTGTTCTTTGCTTTCCCTCAACTGTCACCTAATAGTAGCCATTAGCAGTAAATGAAGCATAAGGGAGCAAAGTTATTCCATTGTCTGGTGAGATCAGTTTCTGTTAGATGCTCTTCTACTTCACCTGCCACCTAATAGTCATACTTCTATCATGCTAATTGAACTGTTTGTATCCTACTTGATTGTTCTAAAAACTGTAAGTTTAAAAACTGGTGCCTAAGTTTGTTTATTCATCTTCCTTCCTTATCCTTTTTCCTCCTTTTTGTATTTTTTTAAGCAAATAAGTCCAAAAGCAAACAAGCAATGTCTTGGTTGTTATTGATCTGCATGCTCTTCTGGGAGGCTTTTCAGCTGAAGAGTGGGGTAAAACTAATTATTTAAAATAGATAATAAACCTGAGTTATGCTGCAATCGAATCAGGACACCTGTAGCTCTGTATATTTGGAGGATTACAATCACCCTCTGGAGAAAAAGAGGGCTGCAGATGCAAAGGTCACTTCTGTGCTCCTCCCACTCTGCAAAGAACTTAGAAGGCCAATTTCAGCCTTCTAAGTACAGCGCTTTGCAACACGTATCTTGGGACGACCTGCCTCCTTGCCTCTCTGTCCCCACAAAATCTTTCTTTGTGTTGTTCTTGCAATCTTGAGAGGCAACCAGCATAGTCCTTTCCATGCCAGCTGTGATGAGAGAAGGAATACAAGTGTGGATCCTAAGGTAGGAGGTAGAGTGATTCTTTTGTAAGTCACCTAGAGAATCCTTAAGGACTACTGAACAGCAGATAAATGTAAAACAAACGAACAACCAAGCTTGTATCTGGGCATCCCAGATGCTGCCCAGCAGCCAAGGAGCTGCGCTGTTAAATGCTGGAGTTGTTGTGCTGTCCTTGCAGACTTGTATTATTAATAATTATCAGAAGTAGGCTTGTCATCACATTTAGTCTTCTTGATCTTAAAAGCAAAACTTTTTCAAATCATTTCTGTTTATTTGTTGAGTTAGGGTGCAATTTGTGCAAGTTTAGGCAGAAAAAAAGTCCAGCATTTCCCATCAGCATGCTGGGAATTCCAGGGATTTTCTAAATTTGCTTTCTTTTCTGCCTAAAGATTGCACTCCTAATGATTTGAATTAAGATTTCTCTGGGGCACTTACATTTAAGTAAATGTTCATCATTTTTTCTAAACATTTGGTAGTAGCTAAGATGGTGTTAGTCCAGCACTAGAAATCTATTTGTTGTTGTTGCTAGTTGCAAAGTCGCGTCTGACCCATCGCGACCCCATGGACAACATGCGTCCAGGACTTCCTGTCCTCCACCAACACCCAGAGTCCACTTAAGTTTACACCAACTGCTTCAGTGACTCCATCTAGCCACCTTATCCTCTGCCATCCCCTTCTTTGCCATCAATTGTTCCCAGCATTAGGCTCTTCTCCGGTGAGTCCTTCCTTCTCATTAGGTGGCCAAAGTATTTGAGTTTCATCTTCAGGATCTGGCCTTCTAAAGAGCAGTCAGGGTTGATCTCCTCTAGGACTGACTGGTATGATCTCCTTGGACTGCAAGGGACTCCCAGGAGTCTTCTGCAGCACCATAATTCAAAGGCCTCAATTCTTAGGCACTCAGCCTTCCTTATGGTCCAGCTTTCACAGCCATACATTGGAAAGAAATCTATATCAACTCCAATTTTCTCAGAAGGTTTGATGAACATTCTGGACATTGCTTACCACAAGAAACTAACACATAAAATACATGTAAGGAATATAAATGCAAATTGTAATGAATATGTATAGTTGTATAGGAACATTTTTATAATGAAAATCATCATAATAAAAAGAAAATTTAACTAGACAAATGTATATCAAAGTAATTAATAACTTAAACACACACTATGCATACAAGCACTGCAGAAAATATTAATGATGACTAATCTACTTACCTGGAATTAAGTCCTATTTAAATCCATGAAATTTACTTCCAAATAAAAATGCTTATGTTCAAGGTCCAAGTTAAACAATTCCCCTTAAAGGACAGCAAAATCCTACTGTTCTACCTATGCCAACTTATAGAACAAGGAATTGTTTACTTTGATTTGGTTCCTATAATACTACTTCTGAAACTTCTGATAGCTGAGGCACACTTTTTAAAAATTTAAACAGGAGGCATATATACTCTGACACCCCAGCTTGCTGTTAGAGTGTATAAGGGTAAGAATCAATTCAAGTTGCAACAACCCAGATTCAGGCTGGACATCAGGAAAAGCTTCCTCACTCTCAGAGCAATACAACAGTGGGCTCTCTCACACTAGAGATAATCAAAGAGAAACTGGACAGCCATCTGAGTGGGATGATGTAACTTGGTGTCCTGCAACAGCAGGGAGGTTGGACCCAATGGCCTTCAGGGCCCCTTCCAACTCTACTATTCTATGAGTGTTTAACTATTTCTTGTGACACACCTGCAGTTCTCAAAAGGCACACTGTGTGCTTTGACACATAGTTTAAGAATTAGTGTTTAGCAATTCCTGTCACACATACCAGAATTTTGGAATGCACTAATGAAAAGCTTCAAGTTTCAACTGCTGTGGCTATCTGTTCTGAAAAATACACCTAGGAAAGATACATGTCATTTCTACTTGTGGAAAAATTGCATGTTTTATAAAGGAAAGATCTACATACTGTTTCCTTCCTGTTCTCCTTGTCTTAACGACTCTGAAGCCCAAAGAGTTGATTCGTCTACTGTCCCAAAGCTGTGCCCAATGTACATTTCTTCTTTCTGTGCCCTAGTACTGGCAATACTGTGCTCATCTTCAGATTTGAATATCTTCTGAAATGCTCTTGACTTCATGCTGGGAAAGTTGCTTCCACTATTGATGAGAATAAACTTGTTGGGCCCATTACTACCACATTCTTTCCCTTTGTCTGTCAGAGCTTCAAGGATACTCTGGATATCAGCATTGGTAGGAACAGTCATCACCTGTGTGTTTGGATTGGTGGAGTGATCAATTATCTTAATTCCTGTAGAGACTTCCTGAATGCTAGATTCCTTTCTGCTTGTGTTAGGTTCATAAGTTCTTATTTGCTCCTGCTTAGAAGATCCAGTAACCTGCCCATTTGATTCATTTCTTATCAGGGTGTTCGATGCATATGGAAGAGACAGTTTCCGTCTCTTGAGAATCAGGGGCCTGTGGGGGCTACTCTTCATCCTTGACCAGTGCAGTCGATATCCATTGAGAACAGAACAAAGGATCCTGCAAAGCAAAAAGAACAAAATATTGCTACAACTATGCGCGCACACAACATATTACAAGAGAATCTCTTGAAAGGAAGTTTAGTTTTCTATACTATATTACGACAGAATTGCATTCTCTCACAAAAGCAGTCATGTGCTCAGGAAAGAATAGCTCCTAGTTATGAGGGTTGTACACAACCATCAGCTTCAGAAGCAGTATGCCTCTGAATATCACTTGGTGGATATCACTTTTCCTGAACACCAGGAAAAGATTATTGCCATAGGCTCTGACTGTGGGCTTTCTAGAAACATTTGATTGGTCACCAAGGTGAACAGGATACAGGAATAGATAGACCTTTGGTCTGATACAGCAAGGTTATTGTGCTATAATGTATTGGCTTGGTTGCCTATCAGCCTGACTAGGAAAAGAAACTTTTCTATGCTGGGAAAAAACTGAGTGCTTTCACTCTCAAGATATTAATTTGCCACAGATCACCGATATGTGCATATGGGCAGCTACTGACATACATTTTATTATTATTAGCAAATGTAAGAAGAAAAGAAATTAAAAATCAGAATAAGTTTTGAGAAGATGATATACTAACTTTCTTATCCTTGAAGGATATGTACCATTCAGATATTTTGCTTGTCATTCTTAACATGGCTTAGCACAACTTTGTGGTTACCATGACACAAATTACTTCTGTGGTTAAGTGGGTTCAAAATTGATTCAAAATGAATTCCAAAAATGTAATAAGCTTTGATTGGCTGAACCATCTAGGATTTCTCAGACTGTTAGAACATCTCTTAAAGACTCCCCAACAATTAGTCAGCACACTTCTAAAAGAACCTTCCTAAATCTTACAGCCAGGTAGCCATGAGAGCATGATTGTAAGTAAAAAATATAAAGTGAAAAACAAAACAAGTCAAAAACAAACAAAGAAGAGTTTTGTTTTGATTTGTTTTTTAACCAAGCTTTTCATATAGTTAATCCATAATGGATCTAACCAGAAACCATTTGGTTCTTGATTCCTATGGGCCTCACATTTCCCTTTTCTGATTCTTAACAGCCAAATCCAGTTTAACTGGAAGGAGGAAAGAACAACTCACATTAGTAAGAACAGCTTGCTATTAGGTCAGAGTCAGGTTAGAGTCAGTGCAGTGTAGGGCCACAAGGTTGGTGGCCAGTTTGCAGGGGAAGCTGTATGAGGCGAGACTGAGGGAGCTGGGTCTTTTCAGCCTGGAGAAGAGGAGACTCAGAGGAGATCTGCTGGCAATGTATGAAGTGAAGCTCAGAGAACCAAGGTTCTATTTGTTGCCAAATAGGTTAGCTAAGATGTTTCCAAATATGTCAAATGGATGTTGGAAATGTAAACACAAATCGGGTACTTTTTATCCTATGTGGTACACCTCTGATAAGGCAAAAAAGTATTGGATTAAAATGCACAAATGGCTTGAGGAAATGTTACAAAAACCTCTAACATTTAAACCTGAAGTTTTCTTATTAGGCATTGTACCTGATGATGTTGGTAAACAAGCAATGCATTTGACTCTACATGTAACTACTGCGGTGAGAATTGCATTTGCCCAACATTGGAAGAGTGAAGAGCCACCTACCGACAAACTGATTCTAAAAAAGGTCTTGGACTGTGCAGAAATGGACAGATTGACTTTGTCTCTGAAGGAGAAAGAAGATACAGACTTCTGTCAAACCTAGGACTCTTTTTATCATTGGCTAGAGAAATGGGACTATGCATAGATTTAAATATGTTTATAGTTTAACATAAAAAGAAAAAATGTGGGGGGCTGACCCACTAAGTCTGATGTTTTCGATGATTGATGATTTTTTTAGTTTCCTTTTTGTTAGGTTTATTAAGAATAAAATTTATTCAAAAGAGAGAGAGAGAGAGAGAACCAAGGTTCAATTTAGATGCCAGGAAGTACTTTCTGACAGTTAGGACCCCGAGGATATGGAAGGGGCTTCCACAGGAGGTGGTTGAGGCCCCATCAGAGAGGGTGTTCAAGGACAGGCTAGACATGCACATGGTGGGCATGTTGTGAGCAGAGCCAGCTGGAGCCAGGGGTCAGATTAGATGGCCCTGGAAGCCCCTTCTGACTCACTCTGTTTCTATGTTTCTAGGTCAAGGTTTGTGTAAACCCAACATAGATAACCAGAGTATGGGCCCAGAGTATGGTCTTAAGGCACATAAGACATCCTGCAGGTTGAAGTTAAGCAGGTCTGGGGCTGGCCTGAGCTTGGAGGGGAGACCACCTGGGAACCACATGTAGCCACCTTGAATTCAACAATGGGAAACAATGGAAAATAAAAATATTAAATACATAATAATACATAATAAACTGTTCAAAAGAGAAAATGGTTTAATGACTTTGAATTGTACAATTCACTTTCTCTTTGTCACACACACACACCATACAGCACCATTCCTCAACTTGGTGATATCCAGATGTTTAGAACTGCACCTTCCAACATTCAGAACCATATCAACTGAGACAGAAGGGAGCTGTTTCAGAAAAATACCTGCATATACTGGGTTTTTTCTAGCCTACGAACATTATCTGTGATTTTCTGGAGTAGGGCAGAAAACCGTTTTTTTTTAAATCCCATTTAATTATTGATGGCAAACTTGCAAATACTCCAATCCACAAAGGTTAAAAGGAGGATTGACTATATTGTGAAACATCATAAAAATACAAAATTAAAAACCAGATTTAAAAATGCTATTTCAAGAAAAGCTATAATAGCTTACTCAGAATAAATAATGAGACCTATTGAACAATGCCCCAAAGCTATTTGAAGCTAATTAAATACCCTATTATTAGAGAACAGTCTTAACTTGGCACTGTAAAAATATCAAGGTCTGTGCCAGATTTTTAAAATAAGTTTTATTAAACTACCAAAAATAATAAAATTAATGCAATAACAATGAAAACAATCATTACTAATAAGCATAGTTAAACAATACAACAATACCAGTTTTATAATACTCTGGACCTAAACCATATATCCCATAGGGAGTTTTCCCTACTTTTAACTTGTGAATAATATCTTCTATTTCCTCCTCTCCAACTAATTGTTCCATCAGCTCTCTATCCATTTGCTGTAGTTTTTTCCCCATTCTTCTCTATATATGATCTAATTTTATCCTATGACACCTTACTGCTTGAATATAACTTAATTATGTCACCAAAATGCATCATATGCTGATGGAACAAGTTTTTACCATTCCTATCTTTAATTAACCCAATTAAATTTTTAACTTTCTTTTGTTGTGTGGCTCTAGCCAATAATCTCAAATTCTTATTACTAAATTCAAAATATTCACTTTTTAAATAAATTAAATTTCTCCGTATTTTTTGTTTCAATGTTTTGCCATTTTCTTTTAGCTAGAATTACTATTGAAACATTTATATCCCTATTTTCTATATACTTTTTCTCCCGTTCATTTGCCCTTCCAGAATTCCCAAATATTTTATTCTTTTTCTTCTTAAATTATATGCTTCTTAATGTATAGCCCCCTTGCAACCACCTTCATTGTATTCCAAATCAAGCTTTTTTGACTACCTTCTCTATCATTAATCTCCCATATCTCTTCTAATTTTTTCCCATTCTATCTGTTATATTATTGTATTAAACATATTTACATCCATTTTCCATCTTTTAACTTCTTTTTCTCCCTTTTTTGACAGGAAAAAAACATATATACAATTACAACAATAATGATATAACACAACAAGAACACAATAATTAAAAAAAGAATAAATGAAGGAGTGCCCCCACCACCCCAGAGACCAATACTACTATCATACACACACAATATATAATATTCTTCAATTATACCCATATCCCTCCAGCAATTCATATAATCTTGATTGGGTTTACAGCCTTTGCCTTCTATCAATACTGCTTTTACAAAATCTTCCCAAATTTCATTATATTCATTGCTTTCATTAACCCTTTTTAAATTTTTATTTCTGTCATCAGTTTATCATTAATTACCATATTCCATATTTATTATACCATTCATGCCTTTGCAAAACCCAGTTCTGTTTCCACATCTTTTAACTTCTTTACAATCACATTTAATTTTAAGATCCATATTTACCCACCAAGCAAGACTCTCTGAGGTGACAACTGGAGGCAGGCCCCAGTTCTTGATCATAGTGAATGGGTGATTCATGGGAGAGGTATTTGTGGTCCAAGCCATGTAGATTTACAGATTAAAGCCAGCACCTCGAATTGGGATCAGAAGCACATAAGCAGCTAGTAGCAAGAGTTTTTTTATAACTAAAGCAGTGTTCCCCTTAGGGTGCAATCCAATGAACTCAAAGGACTTCAGGCATTCTATGCAGGGTGGAAGGTGCAGGAAGGTGAGCTTCACCTCCCCATTCCTTCCACTCAATTAGTTCCTTCCACTCAATTAATTCCTTCCACTCAATTAGTTCCACTCAATTCCTTCCAGTCTAATTCCAGTCAATTAGACAGCTGGTTTGGCTATGTAGCTCAGGAACTTTGGATGGGAAGGGAAGGAGACTGTCGTGTCCTTTGATGTCACCAAAATGCATAATATGCTGATGGAAGAGGTTTCCTTTGCCCCCTACTGCACAGAACACCCTCTTTACCCCTTCTCTGAGATTACATTTATGATATTGAAGCTGTAGCCAACGTAGTTCTTTCCACACCAGCTGTAAGTGGGATTGCAGTGGATAATATGGATTATCAA